CAATCTTCGAATTCAATAATGATTCCGTCTGTTTCATATGTTCGTTCATGCCTTTCACGTCGGCTTGGAGTTCCTTGAATCTGGTTGCCTCTGCCATCCTCTCAACGAGAGCACCAAAATGTTACGGATCAAATAACAGTTACGCAAATAGCTTACTGAATGACAAGCTGCATTAATTCATGGATAGTAAATACATCTCAATCATCCAGTTACAGTATGAAATTCAGTAACCAAATAGCAGAAAAATACTAAAGAAGAAGAGAGGGTAACCACACGGGTCCAGAGGGAGAGAAACAGAATAACAGAATGGCAGAGAGAGAGGAGACCACGTAACAACTTTTTCCCACCCCACCACTCATTGCTGATCAGTGCTTTATTCTCTCAATTTCCACGTGAGGCGACGCTCACGTGAGCTGCGACGTACCCAGATAGGTCCTTCAGCCCCTGTGGAATTTTCAATGCCACGATGGACCGTGACAACAACTTGTAAATAATACTCCTCCGAAGTACTAATAATTAAAATATTTAAAATTAAAATGTTTATATTTGATTAAAATCAAATAAAATAATTTTTTTTTTGAAATTTTATCTTAATTTATATAAATAGTTAATATAAATAGCTCCCAACAAGCCCACGTCATCCGTTTGAATTTAAAATAAGTGATTTTGAAGCTCTTCTAAAATATTTATTTTGTATAGTTAAAAATTACTTCTTCTCTGTTAATGTAAATTAAATAGGCACCATAGATAGGGTAAACATGTAGAGTCTACAATTTTTCAATTACACCCCTTCTTCATTTATTATTAATTGTTTTCCTGGAAATTTGCATGCTCTTAATTCTGATAGGGTATGATTGACATTAATTTGATTATGGGGATATATATGGGTCTGTCTTAAGAGCAAGGAGGATCGCAGAAGTTGGTGGTATCAAGGCAACGACGCTGGAGGAATGGAGCGAGTGCAGGCACAGAGTTTAGAAGCAGAGTGGCAAGTTTCTCCGACGTACGTCGCTGCAATGGCATTGACTTGCTGTTGCGGCAAGCGCTGGTGGTCGACTTTATGTAGTAGTTAGCTCCGGCCGCCATTATCCTCCGCCATCTCAGCCAGCAACGAGCTTGGATCCAACCCACGAGCCTCCTCATCGCTTTCTCCTTCAAACTCATATTCTCTCTTTCATTCTGTGTTTTGAGTTTTGCTTGTGAGGTGTTGTTGATTGCCCTGATGAATTAATCAACGGGACAATTATAATGACACGTCCCAATGCCAGCATGTTAATTATTGTACTTGCACGTGGTTTACGAGAGAGGAACGGGTCAAAAGAGATGCGACCACACATTTATTTGACTGTGCCTCACAGTTCACAACACTGACATGTATTCTTCTCGGCTTTCACGTGGTCACGTCCGTACATGTTTCGTTTTTACCGTCTCATAAAATAAATAATAAATAAATTAAAAAATATTTTTATTTTTAAATATATCTTTACAATAAATAAATAAATAAAAAGAATGTGTGAAAAATATTATAAAAATAATTAAAGCAACATTAAAAAATATATTAAATGTTAAAACAAAATAAATTAAAACTTAAACCACACTTTTTTTTTCAAATTTAAAATTTATAAATAAAAGCGGAAGCATGCGATGAAGAGTCTGGAAATTATTGTCTTGCTTATATATATATATATATATATATATATATATACCTCTGGTCCTAACTATAAGAGTTAGTTAATTAATTTAAGAAGATTAAAAAAAATTAAGTTAGTTATTTATGATGAATAGATGTTGTTTTTCTAAACTATCTTTACTAATCAAGTATATTAGTTAGAATTATCATTATTAGAATGAATTTTTTGGAAAAAAAAGCATAAATATGAGAAAAAAAGTGAATTAAAGTCTTATATTTAGGATCAAAATAAAAATCAAACAAGATTTTATGTTAAAAATAGGAGGTAGTATATTTTACTTGAACTATTTTTTTAACAGCATTAAGAATACAAGGCTTAAGGACACTTTATAAAATTAAAGTAATAAAATACAAACTTGTGTAATTTCATAGTTAACTGAGCTTATTTCGCAGAAGGAGATTCCTGAAATCTGCAGGCCAAGCATCCTTTTGGATAAGAAGTGGATGACGGGGCGCCTAACCTCTTCTAGTTGGAGTCTTTCTCTCTCTGTTTTGTTCAAGCCTAGGCTTTGCCACTTTGCAAGCATAAAAACAAAGATTAAATTTAACCTTATTATTAATTATTAATTAATTAATTTACTAATTTTATGCCCAACGCTGACGAGCACGCAAAAGAGGACGTGTGATTGGGATTTTGAGTTAGATGAAGAAGGGACCTTTATCCTCGCTCCTTGGAAGCTGGTGCAGCGCTTATTTTTATGGGAAAATTACATTCAGGTCTCATAGAAAATAATTAATTTTAAAAAAGTCCCTAGAAATCCCGAAATGGTTCTGAAATCCCAGGAACCTGTGTGTAATTAATTATAATTGTGAAATTACTTATTTATCCCATTAATTTTATTACAGCAATTCATTTACAACCTCCACAATGGCTATTGACAACCCGAGAAGAAGTGGTTGACAACCTCGACAGTACTCTGACAACTCACTCTGTAGGATGTCAGGGGCATTGCCGAGATTGTTAACCACCTCTCTTTGGGTTGTCAACAACCAATGTTGAGGTTGTAAATGAATTACATTGGGTTCAAATTAATAGGGATAAATAGGTAATTTCAAAATTACAATTAATTACACACAGGTCCCTAGGGACTTAGGAATCATTTCGGGATTTCCAAGAACTTTTTTGAAATTAATTGTCTTTTATGGGACCTAAGTGTAATTTTCCCTATTTTTATTATTTTGATTCGTTTAAATCAAATTAAAATATTATCTTCAATTTTAAATATAAAATCTAATTTGTAGTATAATTATTCTAAATAAAATAAATAAGCAGCAGTTTATTATCATCTGTTTGTTAATTAAAATATATAGTTTTTTTTAATAAATACAGTACTACCTCCGATCCTAATTATAAGAGCCAGTTGACTAATTTGAGGAGATTAAGAAAATAAGTTGAGTTAGTTATTTGTCTTAAATAGGTGTTGTCTTTCCTAAAATATCCTTATTAATCAAGTGTATTAACTAGAACTATAATTATTAGAAGGACTATCTTGAAAAAAATTGAGTAAATATGAGAGACAAAATAAATTGAGATTTTATATTTAGGACCAAACTAAAAGTCAAACAGGATTTTATATTAAAAATAGGAGGTAGGAGTTTATCAGCGAACACCTCCAACGCGCTGCTGGACTTGGGTGGGGCTTAGCTGTGGGCTCCCCAAACGGCGTCGTTGAGACTCTTCATCATGATCTCATCACAAGATGCGCAGGGATTGTATTACTAGGATTATCAATGAAATTCAATTACATAGATTTAACCAAGTTAATTTGACCCAAGAAAAAAACCAAGTATAGAAAATAGCTAATTAATTTCTTATATGTTTATTAGTCTCTCGGTTTCTCTAATATAAACAAGTGGTTTTGTAACTTGGCGCTATATACAGAAAAAGATTACGTAATTAGTTTTATAGATTAGAAAAGGATATAATAGTCTAAAGAAGTAGCTATATCGCCTATGCTGATCAGGACATAATGGCTGGAGATGAACAATAGAATCTTCAAGGGGGAGAAAAGTATAAATTAAATCATCATCATCCCACTTACGATAAAACATTAATTTGATTTACTTTACGTTAGATGGTGACACGTTCATTTCAAACATGAAAGAAATTATCTTTTCTTCTATTCTTTAGTGAAAGGGTAACGAAAGTGATTGATCTCGAAGGAGACCAGATCACAAATAAAGCAGAATCAAAGTGGAATTATATCTGATAAGATAGACTATCCACTTCTTTATCATAATATGTATGCTAACGCTGTTTTTGTTAAAAGTCCCCATTTTCTTCTATTATTCTAGTTTAATCAACCTCCTATTTTGTTCCTTTTAACATCTGTAACATATAGAAATTAAAATATTGAGCCATCAATCCAATCTAACAAAATTTGACAGACCAAACAAATTTTAACTTGTTTGACATTAGTCAAACGTAGTTGCCATCGTCCCTTGTTCCATTATTCAAGTCCACTTTCAGTACTCTCCCGTTACTCCCAGAACAAACAAAATCAAGGTTATAAAGCACAGGAATCATCATAGCCATATAGAGCACAAGAAAACCAGAACAGGCCCAAAAATCCAAAGAAGAAGAGGAAGCGATGCTGAGTACAAAATTCTATTCCCCACTGTGTTTGATATGCATGGTTCCTTTCTCCAGAAGCTCAGCGAAGTACGTACTGTGGAGTGATCATGGGCTTTAGATCTTGTGGGGTGGCCAACAGGACGCAGACCTGGTTCAGAAACCTAATGGACACTGTGTGACATAAGAATGAAAAGAGGAAGATGGTGAGTATTGTCACGTACTTTAGCAACACCTTGAACACTACACGCAAACCAATCTGCAAATTGAAACAGCAATCTGGAAGCAAGCTAGTAGGCACAATAAATCTTATTGTTTTTGTTATTTCATCAGACAGGGTTCAGATTCACATAAAATTACGCGCCATGGATCGTCGGGGCTTCATTTGACAGAGCAGGGGATGGATCTCTCTACGAGCAAGGGGGATAGCAGAAATTGGTAGTATCAAGGCAGTGACACTTAGGAGGAATAGAGCGAGTGCAGGGGCAGAGGTTACAGGCAGAGTGGCAAGATTGTCCGACGTCTCTGCAATGGCATTGAGGTGGGATTGACTTTGTACAGGGACAACTGTTGCAGCAAGCAGTGGCGGCGGTCGACTTGATGTAGTAGTTGGCTCCGCCATTATCGTCCGCCGCCTGGGGCAGCAACGCCTTTGGACTGAACTCACGGCGAGCCTCCACGGTCTCAATGATGACGGCCATCAGGGACAGAACCACACCTACCTTTACCATCATCGCTTTCTTGTTCAAACCCATCTTCTCTCTCTGTGTGTTTGAGTTTTGCAATTGTGAGGTGGTGAGGAGGTAATGGGGGCTATTTATAAGCCCCATCGAGGAATATTATAGTAGTATTAAAATTCAATCTCATTGTGCCGGTTTGTCAACTGATAACCAGTTTTCTGATTAATTTAATACTACTAAGAGTCTTCGATGGGTTAATGGAGTTGGATTTTTATAAATATATATATATCTATATATATATGTATTTTGTCTTCACTCATGAATTTAAGATGACAATTTTTTGAGTTAAAAAAATAACAATCCATTATTTTTATAATCCAGTAAATATATTTTGTTGGATCATGTACAGAGTTATTTATAAATAGTTTATTTACTTGTGAATTAATTAATTAAGATTTAACTATTATTTTTAAATTACATAAATATTTTTATATATTTTAATTAAATTATATTATCTTAATTATGATTTACCCCATATATATATTGCAGTTCGAGTAGGAGTTAAGAAAATCTTCAATGATAATGCTCAAATACTCATTATATGTAATGAGTAGATTTAATTTTAGTGGGGATACGGCTTTTTGTATACTTGTTGGCCCTTATCCGGATTAAACCACTCTCTCAAATCCCAATCTCAATTCATACAATAAACCCACCCCATTATCAGTATCTCACTTTATTATATTTGCGCATGGGTTACTGGGAGACGCACGTATTTATTCCACCACTATTATTATCTGTATCTCACTTTACATATTTGCGCGTTTTAAGTAACCATAAGGGTAACAATATATTTTACTCTTAATCATAAAACGTATTACTTCATACATTAAGGGGGTGTTTGGATGGAAATCAAACCATGGTTTTAAAAGTGTTTTTATGGTATACAAAGTAAATATATAGAGGAGTTTACCTTGTTTTGTAGAAAAATATTTCTGAGAAGTACTTTTGGGTGCTTCCCAATACCTCTAATATTGATTCCGTGAATGAGAATTGAACTCACCTTATAAAATTACGAGTTCAAAACTTCCAATGGGAGTATTGTCTTGGTGAACCATTTGTAAGTATCTTTTCTAAGCATTATTTTTTAATCTTAAGATATATTCTAACCCTTATAAGCTCCCAAAATGCAACTTACTTAAACTTATCTCATGTATTATTCTCCACTCTTGCCTCATCTCACGTGCATATGTTCTATTTATACTGTTTAATAAATACTTCATCCCGTCATATTTATAAATTTTTAATTTAGGAAGCGTATATAGTCTATTTCATAAGTCTCAATAAGGGTTTCTTTTGACATTTAATACGGTTTTTTTTAACATTTAATACTTTTTTAAACTACATTTTTATTTACTCTCTCATTTGCCATACTCTTTCTAATCATATTTTTCCGTACACTTTCTTTCGTCATTTTTTATTTATTACAAAAAACATATTTTAAAATAAAAATATATATTTCTAATCTATTTATTACTTTTAACTAATTTTAACTGAGTTTTCATTGTGTATAAATTATTTATTTGAAACTTATAATAAAGACCAGAGGAAGTATGATTTAGAGAGTCTAAAAATTATTATTTTATTTTGATAAATTTTTTATACATTAAAAGATTTTGAACTCTTCATATCGATCTCACCCATGTGAACTAGTTTTTTTTTTTTTTAATGGCAGTTATTCTTATATTTTCACGTTAGACTGTATTATGTATTTTATAAGATGATAGTTATGCATACGGTTCTTCATCATAAGTGATAAATTGTATAAATAGGGTAAATGTATATTCAACACCTTGATTTTATTAATTTATAACGCATCTAGCAAGGGGTATAGCAGAATCCGGTAGTATCAAGGCAACGACAGCGTGGAGGAATGGAGGCAGTGCAGGCACAGTTCTTACAAACAGAGTGGCAAGTTTCTGCGGAGTCTCTGCAATGGCATCGAGGTGGGATCGACCTCCAGCAGGCACAGTGGTTGCAGCAAGCAGTGGTGTTGAACTTTATGTGGTTGTTGGGTCCGCCATTAACGGTCACCGTCTCAGCCGGCAAAGTGTCTGGATCCACCCGGCGAGCCCCCAGTACGGTTGCAGACAAGGCCGCCATCAGGAACAGAACCAAACTTACCTTTACCGTCGCCTTCTTCTTCAAACCCATCTTCTCTCTAGGTAGACTATGTTCGCGTGTTTGAAGTTTTGAGATCGCCGGAGGTCCAGTGGTATTGTATATATAGTTGCGCATAGTTTATGACGAAGGAACAAAGTTCAAACAGGTGGCGTCACACATTATATTTATATTCTGTACTCCCCGTGTGCTTATTACAAATTACTATTCAAATAACTAATAATTTACGAATAATAAACTATTAGTTAAAATTAATTAAAAATAATAAGTAGGTTAGAAATATACTCTTATTTTAAATATGGTTTTGTAATAAATGAAAAAAAATGAAAGAAAATGTGTTGGGAATAAGAGAGAATAAATTATTAAGAGTAAAATAAAAAAATGTGTTAAATATTAGAACAAATTAAAATCAAATTGAAACTTATAAAATGAACCACACTCCTTCCTAAATTTGAAGAGGTATGCACTAAAATATAATTATGAAAAGGTTGCCAAAAAAATGTAATTATAAAAAGCTAGTCTTATTTAAGCTAGCGTAGCGCTTATTTTTATAATTTAATTTGATTCTTCTACATTTAATTAAAATAGTTTATATTATTTTTTTGTTTAAAAATATATATAGATATTTTTGGAATTATTATTTATTATTATGGTTTCTGTTAAATAAAAAAATTATACCCAATAAAATAAGAAATATTAATAATAAATTTCCAATAAAATATAAATGGCGTTAGATTAAAGTTGTACAATTTATCAGAAAACTACCCATGCATACAGTGGACATCTTTAAAAAGTCTTTTGGATCTATTATTTAGCTAGCTATCTGGTTGTCGTTGATTGTTATTTATTCAAAAATTAGTTTCTTGTTTTAATATTTTATCAGAGAATATTCAGACATAATTATCAGTGAATTTAAACGGACCCGACGGGCCATCAAACTAACACTTCCAACCAACGGCTGGACCTGGGTTTGGGTTAGTGTGACCCATGGCGAATCGAAACAGCCGCTGGTACCAAATTAATACTCCTCCGGTCCTTAATATAAGACCCATTTAATCAATTTGATTAGATTAAGGAAGTTAGGTAAGTTAGTTAATTATAAGAAAAATGATACATTTTTCCTAAAACACCATGATCATCTTTCTTAATACCCCCACTCCCTCTTCTACTTAATTATGGTTGAGGGAGCATCCATAGGGGTAATTTAGAGAAAATTGATAAATATGATAAATGGGTCTTATATTTAGGACCAAAACCAACTCAAGAATTGGGTCCTATATTAAGGACCGGAGGAGTAATTATCAATCTATCGCAATATTTAATACGCAATACTAGCATTGTTTAATGACACTATTATGGGTTTTACTTATAAAGATGGGGGCAACCGTCACGTACTTCAGCCACACCATTAACTCGCCGTGGGCTCCGTAAACGGCGTCGTTGAGAGGCTTCTTCATGATTCCAACTAAAATTTAATTTCTAACATTCACTCAAAAAATTTTTTTTTAATTTCTCACAGTTTATAAAAAGCTGGCCCTCACAGGGTCCTCAGTCTCCTCACCGCTCGAGCACAGAAAAACACAGAGAGAGAGAGAGAGAGAGAGAGAGTAGACGACAACAATGGTAAAAGCCGTAGGAGTGGCGATTCTGTTCCTGATGGTGGCGGCCTTCACTGCAGCTGCGGAGGCTCAAATGGTGAAGCAGAACTACTCAATCAACTCCGCCGCCGCAGCCTGCTGCAACGACTGTGCCTGCACTGAGTCCGACCCACCTCAATGTGAGCGCAACGACTGGGGAGAAACTTGCCACTCTGCTTGTGAGCGTTGCTTCTGCCTTCTTATATATCCTCCTCGCTGTCGTTGACTCGTTGCTATGATACCACCCCCTTCTGCTTTCACAAATGTTCCTCTTCTTATGCTAAACCTTCCGGCCAGAATCCTTAATAATACTCTTCCTATCTTTAATATAGGACTCAATTCTTGAATTGGTTTTGGTCTTAAATATAAGACTCATTTCTTATATTTATCAATTTTCTCAAATTACCCTTATATATACTCTCTCACCCATAATCAAGTAGAAGAGGGAGAGGAAGCATTAAGAAATATGATTATGGTATTTTAGGAAAAATGTATCACTTTTCTTATAACTAACTTACTTAATTTCCTTAATCTAATCAAATTAATTAAATGAGTTTTATATTAAGGACAGGAGGAGTATTATATCTATCACTTATCAATATATATGTGTGTGTATTCACTTCCTACCGAACAAATGATCACCATTTTCTAAATAAAGTAATTTAACCAACTATTATTAAATTTATGTATTTATGTCCCTTGTTACATAAATTTTATATTTTATATTTTAAGTATTATAATACTTGGCATGCACGCACCATGTGAATGATGTGAACAATGATAATTAATAATGCTGTTATTTATCCTGGTCAAAAAAAAATAATGCTGTTATCTATAATTTATGCTGTGGTCAATCCGAGCACCATGATGGCGGTGGCGCTGATGAACGGCGGCGAACAGAACTTGATCACCAAGTCGACCACCGCCGACACGGGCAGTTCCTTTCTCAGTAGTGTGCGTATCTCGCCAATTAGCTCTCTCATCAATGGCCTTGATTTCTTTAATTTGAGGTAAATGGTTTCGATAGCATTATTAATAAATAAGCTTTTTTTTTTGAGCTGATAATAATAAGCTATTTAAAAATCATGTCTTCGAATGGAAATGCTTAATTAAGTAGTTCTTATATTAAGAATTTGAGGAAATAAATAGTCTAAATAATAAATCGATCGATATATCATATATTCATTGGAATTTAATGGCTGGAGATTATCACAATGGAGTCTTCAAGAGGGAGGAATGCCTAGATCATTTTCCACCTAAGAAGAAACATATATGACACGTTCCTTTCAAACATGAAACAAAGAAAGTGATTTTGAAGGAGACCAGACCACAAATAAAGTAGAGTCAAAGTGGAATTATGACAAGACACCATCCACTTCTTTATCAATAATATGTATTCTGACGCCATTTTCGCTACAGCCCCGCTTTTTTCCTATTCTGGTTTAATCAACCCTACAACTTTTTTTTCCTTTTAACATATTTAACATGGAGAATATCTTAAAGCCATCAATAATCCAATCTTAACAAAATTTGACAGACCAAACTAAGTCTAAAATATCCCATTTAATTCAACATGAAACCAAACACGCTTGTAAACATAGCATAGGCAAACTTATCTAAACATGTGTGCTTATACATTGATCCATTCATATTAATGGATTTAAATCGAAGGTGTCTAATTAAGAATTTCTCGTTTACGTACAAACGCATATATCTTTGGCATCAGTCAAACATAGTCGCCATCGTCCCTTGTTCCATTCAAGTCCGCTTTCACTTTCCCGCCGTTACCCTCAGTACAAACAAAGTCAAGGTTATAAAGCACAGGAATCATGGCCATGGAGCACAAGAAAACCAGAACAGGCCCAAAAATCCAAAGAAGAAGTGGAAGTGCTGAGTAAAAAAGCCTATTCCCCGCAGTGTTTAATATCACTCCTCTCTCCAGAAGCTCTGTTAAGTACTGTGGAGTCATCATGGAATTTAGATCTTGTGGGATGGCCACCAGGACGCAGATCTGGTTCAGAAACCTAATGGACAGAGTGTGACAGAAGAATGAGAAGAGGAAGATGGTGAGTATTGTCACGTACTTTAGCGACAACATGAACTCGCCGTGTGCCCCGTAAACGACGTCGTTGAGAGGCTTCTTTACGCCGTAGGTGCTGCTTATGACGGCGCCCAGGCCGGCGGAGAGGAGGATCGATGTGGTGGCCATGAGAGTTGATGCCATTATCAGGTTACGTAGGGTTTGCACTACTATGATGTTCTTCTTGTCCATGTCCTTTATCAAACAAAAAGGAAACCATTTTTGTGAAATTAAAATACATTTTTGCGTTAAAAAATTCAGTATTATTTTATTTTCGTACTTTTCATCAGTTCATAATTTTTCTTCATTTAAAATATAAATGTAAACACAAATAATAAGAACTAAAGATTCTAAATCTCCCATTACTGATTATGTTTTTTTCCTTATCCTTGTTCCTATATGTTTTTCTTTTTCTAATATGGTTTATAAATTTAGCCCACGTGAATGGATAAAATAATTAACTTATTATGGATTAATTAGTTGTTGTCTAAAGCACCAGCCAGAAGCTAATAGAATAGATAGATGGCTCTAAATTAAAGATGGAGATGAACATGGAATCTTCAAAAGAGTGAAGAAAGAAGAATCGTGACGTTCACGAACATAGAGACTTTTATTTTATTTTATTCTATTCTAAATTTTATGGACAAGGTGATCAGGAAGAGATTTTTTAAGAGATATAATAATGAACAAAAGACAACAAAAACAAGAGGAAGTGGAATCATGCATGATAACCCACTTTTGACTCGAAAAATGATGATATAACATCACATATCAACTCATTAAAAGGCACTTCTTTTAATCTTTTCTCAGTGTTCGAAAAAATAAAAAACCCAAAACCTTTAGGCCAGCCAATTGTATATTGAGATTCTGCTATGTCGGATATTCCTTGCTGTAACTTTCCTTTTTCAGGACTGATGAATCTAATTATTAACTACTCAACTCCACAGTAAATTCTTTTTTTGGATATTCATTTCTGTATGATTTTCATTTGAATCATTTCGATATGGATTCTATACTAAGTATACCAACACCGTAAAGCAAAATCTGAACCATTCCCTATATACATGTGTGTGCGCGTTTGAGAACCCTCCTGACTGTGCTTGCTTTAACTTTTTCCCTCATATGCTGATGTTAATATTTTGAAGCATAAACTACTCTTGAGGTATAAATTCTCAAAACACAACAAGAAATTGATTTTAGATTCCGCGTAACAAATAGATTACTGCATATAAAGAAATCAAAGTGGATACAAATCAATCATTCTCACTGTAACTAAACACTGCCGAGATAAAACGCATATACCTAGTGAAGTGCAGGGAAACGGAACCGAAAAATTGAAGTGTGAAATTGTGAATAAGGAACACCCTAAGTCGATTTTATATGCCGTCTGATATATACCAATCTATGTTAGAGTTCACAAACCAGATCAAGGACAAGGAATCTTAGTTATTTGTTGTTATGAGCTTTTTATCTCAGTAACATATATAATGAAAATCTTCATAACAAACACCTAAACAACACAACTATTTAAGATCAAAATATTTGGTGAGCTAGAATCAGGAGTCAACAAGCATACATAGAAGATAGTGCAGTTTAAAGTAGAAGTATACGCTGGCCATCATATTTTTATTATAAACAGAAACACCTGCTGCTAGTCTGGGATTGCGGAAGCTTAATAAGAGAACAAATTAACTAGGAATAATTGAGACCGATCAAGATCTAATATTTAACAGATTTGAATGAATAAGATGGATTATATATGTATATCTTTATGTACCTTCATCATGGCTGGAACCCAGAAGCGTTGGCCATGAGCGTTGATGCCGATGGTGGTGGTGAAGGGACTGGTACGAACCTTGTGCCATAACCAAACATGATAACCAATGGTTATCACAATTCCTAAAGGCACCAACATCAAATCCAAATAATATTTCTTCCATTCCATGACGACGGCTTTGATTTAGATTTCTTGCTCCTTTTCTCGTTCCCTTGTACGCTATTGTTCAAGGGCTAGCTAGCTATGTCTGTACTGTGCTGTGCTGCTTCTGTGTTGATTTCCTTAGAGATTCTAATTTGGACCACTTGAATATGAATGTAAGCTTTGATGTTGTGTTTATGGAGGCTTAGCATATCTATTTATAAACAAAGTTCGTGCCCATCTCTATTGGTGGGCTCATGTATTAGTGGTTAGATCCGGTATCACATCTCTATTTTCTTTTTCTTCTTTTTTTCTTTTTTCTTTAACTTTCACCAGCACGCTCCTTTTTTCTCCCTTCATTCACGGAACTAGTTTCAGTACTCATCACTTTGATGAGCACTTTAAGCTCATTAAATATAAAATATTCATATCTCATTTGGATGCTCTGCATTTGATTTTTTTTATTTATTCAAAAAAATTATTTTAATATGTATAGAATCTAAAATAGAGATAATTTCTTAATTATCATTCCTTCAAAAATAGTTTTTTATTTAAAAAATAATTAATTAAAGATTTTAAATTCGGACCGTTCAAATCAGATATAGATGGTCTAGATCTAATGAGCTTAGAGTACTCATCAAAGTAATGAGTATTGAAACTAGTTCCCTTCATTCATCTTTATGCCTTCACTTTTAAATTCGGGTTCTGTCTAGGAGAGAGGAAGATAGGATGTTGAGCATCTAACCATGAAAGTTGGAAAGTTTACGGTCATTTCACTTGCATCGGATTATATATACCCTAAACCTTAAAATCATGAGTTTATGAATCTTCCTCAATTGAATAAGAATATAATTTTGATATTTTATGAAGGCTTATTAGCAGAGGCTTGGTATATTTATTTGTAAGTAAAATTCAAACCACAAGGTCATTATTAGTTGGAAGGGAAAAAGTTATTTGTAAGTATACAAGTGATCCTTTCACTTTGTAAGAGTTATATACTTTGATTTTTTTTAAATGGATCGGAGGCTCAGCATATTTATTTATAAGCAAAATTTATTTAACCCATGAGATCATTAATTAAAGCAAAAAAACTTATCCTAAGTTTACATATGTGATTGTAAACTTCAATAATTTGATATTAAGGACTTACCCAGCATATGTATAGATATAGACTCTCCTTTTTAATTTCGTCTATTCATCTTTATGCCTTCACTTTTAGTTCGGCTTCTCTTTTAGAGATGGTAGCTATTAGCTTATTTAAAAGAAGTCGTAAATTTAGGTGTCATTTCACTTGTATATCTTTTTAACTGAAGTTTATTTGACGTAAGACTTTTTTTCATTTTTCCTCACATCAACTCTGACAATTAATTAGGAAAGAATATTATAGAAGATTTAATTTACTCTTAAACATCATTGTGCTATATTAAGAAGGGTGTGTGTGTGTGTGTGTGTGTCTTAATATGGCAATGAGATTAAATTATCCACACACGCATCAGACGCATACTAATTGGCATTTATCATGAGACACCCCTAGATTAATGAAAAAAGTGATGACTTAGAGTTTTGTGTGTGTGTGTGTGTGTGTGTGTGTGTGTGTCTTAATCATTAATGATAAATTAAATAATATATCTTTTAGAAGAATATTTTCCTGTTATTGATAATTAATTAATTGAGCGAGGTTCATTGATATCTAGTGAATGAAGTCACTAAGATAAAAAAAAAAAGATGATTAATATGCGTAATCAGTTATTTTTGTATAATTGAGCATCTGCAAAGGTATTCGTATGGAATAAGTGCTCCTTCACTTCGACCGTTATAATTGCACTAACTAAGAAGAGGCTTCATATATACATTTAATATTATCAAATTACTCTCTGTTTAATGCCACACACGTGTGTTTTTCTATAATTGATCTCGATGAACCATTTTGTTTAGTTTGCAACTAGCAGACGTGATGCACACTTCAAAAACAATGTAAACAAATACTGTATTAATTAATATCATAATGTTCCTAATGCTCGTTAACTTTATATCCCACAGATCACTAATGGGCAATAAACTATGTTCACGAATCACGCCTAACGTTTTTTATTTTTCTACGATACTTCTCAATGTCATCATTACAAGTATCTTTTTCACTATCTCTAGTATATATATAAGACATCTAAAATACCATTGATTTCATTTTTTTAAATATAATTTATTTTGATATTTCTTGGCCTACTAAACAATTTTTTAAACTAATTAAACAACATCTTCTAACTAATGAATAATTTGGGTTATACCTTTTTTTTTTTAAAATTCTGGTGGATTCCTCTTTAGTGTGACTTGCTGTGAATCATAATTTGAGTCCTATTTGTGATTCGCATTCACTTTAGATAATCTGAGCACTTCAGCAGAATCCATATCTGCCCCAATCCTTTCAAATAAAATTGAGAGTAATTTCAAATTTTAAAAATATTAACTACTTTGAATTAAATTCATTAATTTATGTGAAGTGTTCTGGGATCTTAGGATCGAAGGCTAAGCTGAGTAATATATTAGAAGCATAACGAGAACAGTAATAACCTTTTTGCTATAAAAGACAAAGGTCAAAAAGATATTTGACTCTATTTTTTGTTATTCTTTTGAAAGCAACCATATGAATGGTTGGAGGATTATATGTTATGGGATGATTTTTTATACATTGATTTGTATATTCCCTGTGTCACTATAATGAAATTACTTTAAACATTGACAGAGTAAAGGTCTCGTGCTTAATTAACACAAAACTTCCATTTGTTTGTTTGTTTGTTTGTTTGCCACACTAGCACAATATTTCAATATTTCAAAAGATGCATAATTAATTGGACATTTCTCGGTTTAGCTCCTTCTTCCAATTGTATAATAGTTTATACGAACTAAAGTGCTCACCAGCAACACGAGGGCTACCACTGATGATCTAGAATACTCCTGCAATCTCCGACGCCCTCATCAATTATATAGGTTTCCTGGAATCTTCACTTTATATAATATTATATTATGTGATTGTGGAATCTCTGTAATTTTCATCGCCTCATCAATAATATGCACATGGCGAGAGTTCTACTCAATGGTGGACCTGAACTTGCTTTTTTTTGTGGGGTTTATTAACTTTTTTGTGCTTTGCCTAGAAAATCAATAAACACTCTTTTTCTTTGCGTATACGTACTCTAATTAAGTTCCACCATGAAAATAGAGCACCCACCATTGCGATTCTTTTTCTTTTCTATTCTCTCTCTCTCCCCCCCCCATATGCAAGTGCGTGTGTTTTTTGGATATAAGCCTCACAATAATATTGGTGCTTCTTCAGAGAGGAAAAAGCTAGTAAAAAGGAGTGATGAAACTCTGAGACACATAATCTTATAGCAGATCATCTTCTTTACACTAACATTGGTCCATTAATCTAAAACCTCTCACAGTTACTTCATCAGACATTAGACCTTAGCCCTTGGATGACTATTCAATGTCGTTTGCCTTCCATGACGCATATGTCTGTCTCCCACCACTGGGATAACAATCTATATCAGATTGCAGCATCTCAATACTTTGTATATGGGTCGAACCTAATTGAATCAGGAGGAATTTACTATTTGCCCTCCATATATGCTCTGGGAAAGATTAGTCTCCACTTCTAAATGAGGACATAGTTGGTCTTGGAAAAAACAAAAGAATTCTGCATGACACTTAGTGTGAGATTTAAAATTTCAAGCTCTCACTTGGTAAGTCGGAATTTTGAATTTGTCTGTCCCTCAGGTACTCAAATATAATTGAGAGAACACTAAGTAAGTAAAATTCTTCTCTTATTTTATTGCCAAGTTTTGATAATAATTCATTCAAACTTTTATGTAATATTCTTTGCTGACGTAACAGAAAAGGAAAGGTCCATATAGCAAAGAAGAAAAAAGAAAGGAAAAGTTCGGGATTGATAAGAAAAGATATAAAGCTGATGCACCTCGCAAATCTTTGTCCCTGAGTGAAAAAGCTATGGAAGAGGTCATATGATATTGGCTATAGTTTTTTTTTTTTCATCCAAATTATATTGGCTATAGTTATTCATTATATTCATTTTGTGTGTTCGTTATTGTTGTATTTATATGTTTTACTGTTAATAATCAGTTAAAAAAAAAAGTAACTTTGATATTGCTTTTTTCTGAAGACTAATAACTAACTTTACTTTCAACATGCCCAAAAAGGAACTTTGGATTATTGAATCTTTGGCTTCAACGTAGTACACAAATAAGATAACTGAAGTTCTATCGTGGAAGAGGAGGGACCAGCTAGTGTCGGCACTCAATAATTTTTCATATATGTTATTTTGACATATATTAAATTATTAAATATGGATACTTTTATATTTTAAAGAATAAAAGTTAGCGTTTAATTAGTTCCCTTTTTCATAAGAAATTTTTTTGAAGGAGCTGGGATTTGAGACTCAAGGATCTGTATATGTCTCTAACTCAAAGAGCATTTGTCTATGTGTTTATAAATTGCCCACTAACAAAATATTTACATTAACAACGGGATTTAAATCACAACTTTATGAGTTGCATGTCCAATTCTTATTAACTAGATCATAATTTTTGTTGACAACTTTTAATTAGTTTTAAGGTGTAGTGTATATTTAGTGGGTATGTGTCGTGTTCCAAAAGAATTAATATTCTCCATTTTTTAAGAATTTGTAAAATCAGATTATGGCATGGATATATTTCAGTCCTATATAAATAAAAATAACAGAGTTGATCCGTGTGTTTTATTGAGAAACACAGTCCACAAAATTAAAATAGACTCACGAGGGGATCTCGTCTTCCCAAAAGTTCTTCTTTATTCCTTGCTTCAACCTCGTTAATGTAACGTAACGCTCATATTATCGCCCTTCACATGCGCTTATTATTTTATTCCTCCATCACTGCTATATGCTTAAAAAGTAAGAAGACGGGGAAATTTTTAAGACACAAATTAGTTAAAATTGTTTTATTCGCATATGCAGGTTATTAGCTTATTTCAAGTGATTATGAGGGTTTGTTAAACAAGCATGTAACAATAATCTTGTCCTCTAGAAAAGAGATTTGGGTGTCATTCGGTACGAAATATTGAAAAGTAGGGGTAGAAATTGTGATAAGAATTAGGAAAATCTATTCAAATAATGTTTTGCACAAGAAATTATAT